TTCTCCGCTCTTTATGTTGACGATCTTACTCTTTGCTGTCGAGGTGATGATTCGCCTCTCCTTCAACGGCGGCTTCAACTTGCGATTGATGCCGTGTCATCTTGGGCCACCAATCATGGCTTCAAGTTCTCTACTACTAGGACTTGTGCCATGACTTTTATTCGGAAGCGGGTCGTTCTTCGTCCCTCTTTGTCACTTTATGGTCATCCACTTGAGTACAGAGATTCCGTGAAGCTTTTGGGGTTATTCTTTGACACTCGTTTGTCTTGGTCGCCCCATATATCTTACCTCCGTGTTGAATGCTCTAAAGCCCTTAACCTACTTAAGGTTTTGTCCCATACTTCTTCGGGGAGGGGATAGGCACACACTCCTCTATTTGCATTCCTTTCTTGTCCCGTCTAAACTCGAGTATGATTGCCCTGCATACTCTTCTGCTTCTCCTTCTACTCTTCGCCGTCTTGATCCTTTGCACCATACTGGGTTGCGCCTCAGCTCTGATGCTTTCCGTTCAACTCCAACCCCTCAGCTTGTATGCTGACACTGGTTTCCTGTCTCTCCAGGACTGCCGTGATCACCACAGTCCTCGCTATCTTGCGTGATTCTTACAGCATCCTCACTCTCGCCTCTATCGTGCTTTGACTTTTACCCCTCCTGTAGTCCCTGTTCCTTTTCACCACCTTCCTCTTTCTGTACGTTTGTCTCGCTTAAAAGATTCTCTTTCTGGTCATATTTCTAATGTTTCTCCTCATACTGTTCCTTCCTTGCCTCCGTTGAGAGTCCCCCTTCCCAAGTTTTGTACGTCCTTGACTCGTATCACAAAAGCCTTTACCCCTCCTACGATTCTGAAGTGCCTCTTCCTTGAGCACTTTTCTTTGCACTCCCACTCTATTTCCATCTTTTTAATTTTTTTTTTATTTTTTTTAGATATGTACAAGAGTTGTTACATTCTTGCACAGCCACTAGTACGCGTAGCGTTTCGGGCAGGTCCCTGGAATACGATCCCCTGCCGCGAAAAATCGTTTTTACAACCAAGTACCCATTTTACTGTTGAGTTAAACAGAGGCTACAGTTAAGGATTTGCGCCCAGTAAATCCTCCCCGGCCAGGATACGAACCCATGACAAAGCGCTCGCGGAACGCCAGGCGAGTGTCTTACCACTGCACCACGGAGACTTAGCCCCATCTTCACCGATGGGTCTAAGTCTACAGACGGTGTGGGCTACTTTGCGGGTTTTCCTGACTGCACTTATATGTGTCGCCTTCCTTCGGAGGCTAGCGTCTTCACAGCAGAACTGTATGCTATTCTCTATGCTCTCCATCTCTTGCTTTCTCATTGTCATTCCTCCTTTGTGGTTGTAGTTGACTCATGGCCTCATGGCTCTAGGGTCCTTTAATCCTGTCCATCCGGTGGTTGTCGAGATTCAACGTTGGCTGTTTCTTATTTCTAGAAAATTTAAATTAGTAGAGTTTTGCTGGGTTCCCAGCCATATTGCTGTTTCTTTAAATGAGGGTGCGGATGCTGCCGCTAGGGAAGCTATCCGGTCTTGTCCCATTTCCCGTAAAGGTATTCCTTATTCCGACTTTTATCCTTTTATTCACTCCTCCATCCTTGCCCGTTGGCAGGGTTGTTGGTCCTCTGCAGTTAGTGACAAGCTGCGTAGTCTCAAACGTAGTGTGTCCCCGTGGCCTTCCTCCTACCACCATAACTGGCGGTGGGAAACTGCTTTGGCAAGGCTGTGGATTGGCCATAATCGCTTAACCCATGGTCATTTAATGGAGCGCCGCCCTGCTCCTTATTGTCCAAATTGCGTTGTCCCTCTTACAGTTGTGCATATCCTTGTTGAATGTCCTGACTTCCAGGACGAGCGTGTGTCTTGCTTTCCGACTGTCCCTCGCGGTCACTTGTCCCTCGATAGAATTCTAGGTGAATCGGATACTTTTGATATCGTTCGCCTTATGCATTTTTGTTCTCGTATTGGCATTCTTGGTGATATTTAGCGCCCTCTGATTATTTCGCACTTTGATGGTGCTACATAGCCGTCCCGGTTTGGTGCCTTCTTTTGATAATTACCTTACCTTTCCCCTGCACACTTTTTTTGGGGTAAAACGAATAATGCTGGCATTACCTATTGCATATAATGTTGAAATAATTATAATAATAAATTTCATTAATTAATCAAATTGTAGAGTTAGTAGACTAACTACAATATTATAACTAGAAACAGAATCTTAACTGTCAAGCGGTTAATGAGGAATGTGTCAGACAGCCTTCCATAACCAGCCTAATCCTGTCTGGGTGTGTTCACATGGCAGACACGTGATTCACCAGAAAGGGCGATCCTCTCTCGTAGATAAACTTTGTGAACATCATAATACGTAAATTCTATATGACTATGACCGGCTTAGGGGAGCCGGTCGGCCGAGCAGACAGCACACTGGACTTGTGATCCTGTGGTCCCGGGTTCGATCCCGGGCGCCGGCGAGAAACAATGGGCAGAGTTTCTTTCACCCTATGCCCCTGTTACCTAGCAGTAAGATAGGTACCTGGGTGTTAGTCAGCTGTCACGGGCTGCTTCCTGTGGGTGGAGGCCTGGTCGAGGACCGGGCCGCGGGGACACTAAAGCCCCGAAATCATCTCAAGATAACCTCAAGATAACGAGTATATCCACTAACATTCATTGAAAGGGGTCGACTCATTAGGGGGAAACACACTTACTGGAGTTTTTTGATGGATCTAGCGTCTTAATAATTGGAAAGTCTGTAACACAGGATTACAGCCATAAAACGTGAAAAATGGTTACTCATCCAACTGGGCACGGTGTCCTCAATGACAGATGAAGCCAGCAGGAAAATCTGGAAATGATAATGCTTGGATGATCCGTATAATAGACGATGATAATTTCTAGCTTTGGGACACCAATCAAAGATGGCTTCTCCTCGGCCAAGTCTCTAGGCAAGTGGCAAGTGGCGCGCGCACCACCAGGTTCCCTGACTGTGCAAGAGCTCGGCATATAAGTCACTAGATTTTATTCTGGTTTACCATCTGATTAAAACATTGCCGACGTTATTTAACGTCATAATAACGCACTCCAAGTGTCAACAGATGATTTTTCGCAGTATGTATTATTGAACCGAAGTGTCGTTAGATAAACAACGAATATATATAGATAATATTCCGTTCATGACTTGTACCGAGCTGGAATCCTATGATCGCAGCTATGGATAACTTTAACTAGAAACAGAGATATAATTTGCTCTAATGAATTAAATCAAATTCCAATCGATATTACTTAGTAATTCCGGGACATCCATAATGGATGTCCCGGATCTGCGTAACAAGCATGAACATAAGTCATTAATCTATCATCGTTGGTACATCTGTTTAGTGGTTAAAGTATTAATCATCATGTCCTTTAAGATCAAGGAGACTCCTAGTTCTTCAGTGAGGTCAGGGTCTAGGGGTCGCTGTGAATTGTAACTGGTCGAGTTACTAGACACTAACTCATCATTGGGGGAATCATAAGATCAAATCAATCCCAGACGAGGAATTGTCTGCACTGATGCAGAATGAAATATTAACAAAGTTTGTACTGTTGTGCAGTAGTCCTTACGGACGGTTATTTTAGATAACTTCTTAATATTACTAAGCTTCTAGCATAATAAATTTATTTTATCTTACTAGGGGGTTAGTATTTGGGGTGTCGGAATTTTCCGACAGTGGTTGGTTGTGTGAAGGTGGGGGATAGTGGAGGGTGGTGGTTGGTGGCATGAAGGTGGAGAGTAGGGGGATGGTGGTTGGTGGTGTGAAGGTGGGGGATAGTGGAGGGTGGAGGTTGGTGGCATGAAGGTGGAGAGTAGGGGGATGGTGGTTGGTGGTGTGAGGGTGGAAGGTAGTGGGTGATGATGGTTGGTGGTATGAAGGAGGTGGATGAGGATGTAGTGAGGATGGTGGTTGTTGGTGTGAAGGTGGAGGGTATTGTGGGATGGTGGTTGTGGAGAGAAGTGGGGGATGATGGTTGGTGGAGGGAAGTGGGGGATAGTGGTTGATGGTGTGAAGGTGCTGGTTAGTGGGGGATGGTGGAAGGGAGTGGCAGTGGTGGTTGGTAGTGTGAAGGTGGAGGGTGGTGGTTGGTGGTGTGAAGGTAGAGAGTAGTGGCGGTGGTAGTTGGTGGTTTGAGGGTGGAAGGTAGTGGGTGATGATGGTTAGTGGTGTGAAGGTGGAGGGTAGTTAGGATGGTGGTTGTTGGTATGAAGGTGGAGGGTATTGTGGGATGGTGGTTGGTAGAGGGAAGTAGGGGATGGTGGTTGGTGGTGTGAAGGTGGTGGGTAGTGGAGGGGGGCGCTGACGACTTTTGTTTGAACCACAAAGCCGTAAATGCTTTACCTACTTACTAAAAATACAAATAATCGCTAACAGAACCTAAACATCTAACCTAACCTAACCAATGCCTAAATATGCATAATTTAATAAATTATATATTAATTTATATATGAGAAAATTTATGTTTAGAATGAACAGAATGTAAAATAATTATGAATGCATCTTTGGGGTCGATCTCTGGAATGAATGGACTTAGTCTGAGAATGGGTTTCTAAGGGGAAGTGAAGCCTAGCTCTTTAATCCTCGCCTTTTCGGGGCTTGTTGCACTTGTTCCATTACTGTTTAACTATTCTCACGTTCACATTATTTGTCGGATCTTGTCTTGATCCTGTTTGAATAGAGGCGGCCTCTGCAATTTCTTCTTCTTTTAGTCCATTCCACTTGTTGCCAACACATACAGGGTATGAGTAAGTCCTTATCTTTCTTCTACTAATTTGTCTTTTCAACTTCAACTTATGTCCTCTTGGTCTTTCTCTTGATTTTTACTCTTTGAAAAAGCATGTGTAAGAAGAACTGGGCATATTTAAGGATAGTTTCTAGTGGTTCAATATATTTATCAATGTGGGCGTTGAGTGCTGGTGTACTTAGTGCATGGTGGCCAGCCAGCTAGCCAGCAGTCATGCTGGGCGTTGGTTAGTGTGTAGTGTGATTGTAGCGGAGAGAGTCATGTCTGTCTATCTGCTGCCTCTCCTCTGTGTCCTGGTGGGCTGGTCGGCCGCCTTCCCGGAGGTCACCATGCACCACACAGAGGAGTTGGACTTGACACCTAACGTCATCCTCCCGGAGGCCACCATGGGCTACACGGAGGAGTTGGACTTGACAGCTAACGTCATATTTAACCAGATTGCTATACACCAGCTGCAGGAGGAGCAGCGAGGCGTCCAGGAAGGTGAGAGTAAGAGCAAAGTAATGTTCACAGTTCCTTGTCACTTAATTAATGAGTTAGTAAACCAAATATCTGCTGCTTACATAAAAACATCACCATAAGGCACCAGTATACAAGCTCTAGGGCTGAACACATCATAGAAACACACGTAAGGATATGATCTTAATGGTAGCAATTGTTTACAGGTGTGAGAAGTATGCTGATGGTGATAGCCAACATGACTGAAGGTAAGGAGTCATATATAGAGTAAAAGTGTCGATGTTTCTATGTCTGTCAGTTTCGTCACTCGATTCAAGTCTGTTTGACTTCACTCAAGATTTTAGGCACAGAAAAGTGTACAACAAGATAATTGTTTAAATAATATTCTCTAGTTCCTGGTGCCATTATATCTCCATTTTGTTGAAGAATCTTGGGAATTAAACACTTTCATGCATTAGTCGCGATCCCGGTCGTCAACTCTTTTTCTTACGGTTACGCGACAGTGACTACTCATGGAGTCGCGAGAAAAAATATTTGTATAAAATCCAGTTATTATCCGAGCAACTTGGGGATAGTTTACAAATGTTTGCCATGAAATTTACGTTTTCTCTAATAGCCTAACAGCTTATTAAAGAGAACGGCGTGGCAGTGAATCATCGTGGTAAAACAATTGTATTATTGACACCACGAGTATAATCGACGTAGTTTTTATATATGTTGCCGGTCGAACGCATCCTTATGTGACCTTTAATACTTATGTTCTTATAGAACATTCTTTTGTGAACACATTGGAACAAAAATGAAATACATACATCGAAAAATAATGTCAGGACAGTGAATTGAATATACATATAGGTATGTTCTTATAGACAATTCTATTGCGAACACAGTGATACCAAATTTAAATACGTACGCCTACAATTAGTGTCAGGACAGTCAAAAGAGTATACACTTTTCGGTCTTACCGCTTAGGCGCGCGAAACGCCGATAGCACATAGGGTAAGTTTTTTTTCAGAACTCAGTGGGCACGAAAGTGTATTAAGTAGTCAGTCTTGTCGCCTTCAGCATCAAGCACAGCCTGTCATTCACAGACGATAGTACCTATAGTCACTACAGATGGACGTACACAGTACCTATAGTCACTATGGATGGACGAGCACCGTACCTATTGTCCCTCTATATGGATGTACATAGTACCTATAGTCATTATGAATGGACGTACATAGTATCCATAGTCACTATGGATGGACAAGCATAGTACCTATAGTCACTATGAATGGACGAGCACCGTACCTATTGTCACTATGGATGGGCGACCATAGCCCAATCTTCCTCCCATCTGTTGTCAGAATTCCATGTATGAAGCTTGTGCTCTCATTAGTAACCCGATTTCCCAGGTCTTCAAACTTCCATTTCCGCCTTATTTGGAGTGCCACTCCCCCTCCCTGTCTGCGTCCTTTCTTTTCTTATCACCTGGTAGCCCTCTGGAAAGATTGCATCCGAGATCATGTCATTTATTTTAGTTTCCACTATTGCAACTATGTCAGGATCTGCCACACTCACTCTTTCTTTTATCTCTTCTGCTTCATTACATACCCCATCAACATTGGTGCACCAAACATTGAGATTCTTCATGGAAACTCTGGTACCAGAGGTCGCCCTTTCTCTGGGATCTGGGGAGATCTGGGGGGTGTCTGGGGGGTGAATGGGGGCTGGGGGGGATCTGGGAGGTGTCTGGGGAGTGAATAGGGTCTGGATGGGCGCTTAGCATTGATGAAGGTAGGTAGGAAGGTCTGGGGTAGGGCCTAGGTAGGTAGGTCTGGAGTAATAAAGGCATGCTGGGTTTGAAGATTAGGGAGGGTCTGAGAGGCATAGAGGGGTTGAGAGGGAGCATAAGGTTGAGAGTTAAATAGAGGTTGAGAGGTTGGGGGGGGAGAAGGATAGAGGGGGTGGGGGAAGAGGGGCGGATGGAACATGGATAATGACAGTGGGAGGGAGGTTGTATTAGTCAGGGGGAACTCAGGGGTAGATGTGGGCATTGGAGCAGAAGGGGGGAAAAGGGAAATGAAGGAAGAGGTGGGGGGGGGGGGTGTCCCCCGTCCCCCACGGGGGGGGGGGGTGTCCATGTGTCCCCCTCGCAAGGGTAAGGGGGTCACATGGTAGAAGAGGGGATGAGGAGGGGTGAGGGTTGGGCGGGTTTTGGGGGTTGAAGTGAGGGCGGGATTTTTGGGGGTTGAGGGGATGAGGGCTGGGCAGGTTTTGGGGGATGAGGGGATGAGGGCTGGGCGGGTTTTGGGAGTTGAGGAGATGAGGGGGTCCTTGGAATGTAGAATGAAGCAGAAGGATTCGAATACAATGGGGTCAGAGGGGTCTGGGGAGGTGTTTGGGAGATAAGCAGTGCGAGGGAGGGCTGATTTTGGGAGGGTGTGACCTGGGAAGCAGGCGTCGGCTCGTTAGCACGGGGTGAGGCACAGGGTTGGTTAGCACTGGGGTGGGTAACTACGCTCAAATTTGACGAGGTGTGTTGAGGACGGCTCGCCTTGTGAGCTATGTGCTCATCTTTGGTCATGTATTTGTCAATATATATGTTGTACTAGTTTTTGCTATTTCTGATTAAGTGCCTGTGTTGCAGTATGTAGTCCACAGCCTCCTCGTTAGTGAACTGTACCAGGACAGGTAGTTTCATGTTACAGTTGTACGCCCCCATGCGGAAGTGGATTCCCACCTCATTCCCTGCCACTTCGGCTCTGATATCGCTCAAGATACCCTGTTACTCAAAATCTTCAATCTCCATCCTTTCCTTCCTTGATGATGCCTTGGCTTCAAGTAATCCATGGATTATGATTGACCTCCTCCTCAGTGAAGGGTCGTGCTGGTGGCCCCGCCCTTGCTTACCCCCACCCCTCCCACACTCACTACTCCATTCCCCTTCACTCCCCCTTCCCTTGCCATGCTACCCTTATTCCTGCCAAATTCAGTTGTAAGCCTAGTTATCTCACTTTCCCATGCTACTCTGCTCTTACTGATTTCTTCTTGAATATAGTCCATAAATTCTCGTTTTTGTATCTGAACCTCATCCTGTATCTTATTAAAGATTTCACTTTTAATCCCCTGGATTAGATCATCTATCCAAACATCCCTCTTCTCTACAAATTTCCCAATCATTTTCTCCACAAACATATCCTCTTCTTCAATCATAATACTTCTGGACCTAGACACCCTTCCTGACCTAGATATTGTTATAATCCAACCTTACCCACAGGGGGTTCCAATTACCTTACCGACCTGCTAAACACAAAATAGGTGAGTTAGTCTCCAAGCGTCTTACCACGTGGTGAAGGAAGGGTTGCCGCCAGGGGTGAGGTCACTGTCGGTCACAAGTTGAGGCTGTGAGGTCACAGTCAGTGTGAGGTCTGCTCCACTCTTAACACTGCCAATATTCGTTCAACAACTATTTTCAATTAAGCTAATTCTACTATATTTCTTCACTATCTTATAGTTTTAGTAAAAAAAAGTTTTTTCATTCACTCGTATATACTTTTCCACTTCGAAGTAGCCTGGTCACCCCTCCCACTGCACTAGTGACCAAAGAGGTCCCAAACCCACGTCCGCTAGAACGACGGTCACAACACAACACGTGTGTGTGTGTGTGTGTGTGTGTGCAGGTGTACAGGTTCCTGAGCCTATTGGGCTCTATCATATCTACACTTGAAACTGTGTATGGAGTCAGCCTCCACCACATCACTTCCTAATGCATTCCATTTGTCAACCACTCTGACACTAAAAAAGTTTTCTTTCTAATATCTCTGTGGCTCATTTGGGCACTCAGTTTCCACCTGTGTCCCCTTGTGCGTGTGCACCCTGTGTTAAATAGCCTGTCTTTATCAACCCTATCAATTCCCTTCAGAATCTTGAATGTGGTAATTATGTCCCCCTTAACTCTTCTGTCTTCCAGCGTAGTGGAAGTCTTACCCTTGACTAGATATGGACTCCATGCTGGGGCTGCATACTCCACGATTGGCCTGACATATGTGGTATACAAAGTTCTGAATGATTCTTTACACAAGTTTCTGAATGCCGTTCGTATGTTGGCCAGCCTGGCATATGCCGCTGATGTTATGCTCTTGATATGGGCTGCAGGAGACAGGTCTGGCGTGAAATCAACTCCCAAGTCTTTTTCTTACTCTGACTCCTGAAGAATTTCCTCTCCAAGATGATACCTTGTATCTGGTCTCCTGCTCCCTACACCTATCTTCGTTACATTACATTTGGTTGGGTCAAACTCTTACAACCATTTGTTCGACCATTCCTTCAGTTTGTCTAGGTCTTCTTGAAGCCTCGAACAGTCCTCTTCTGTCTTAATCCTTCTCATAATTTTGGCATCGTCCGCAAACATTGAGAGAAATGAGTCTATACCCTCCGGGAGATCATTTGCATATATCAGAAACAGGATAGGACCGAGTACAGAGCCCTGTGGGACTCCACTGGCGACTTCACGCCAATCTGAGGACTCACCCCCTGACCGAAATTCTCCGCTTCCTATTGCTTAGGTACTCCCTCATCCACTGGAGTACCTTACCAGATACTCCTGCCTGTCTCTCCAGCTAATGTACCAGCCTCTTATGCAGAACTGTGTCAAAGGCTTTCTGGCAATCCAAGAAAATGCAGTCCGCCCAGCCCTCTCTTTCTTGCTTAATCTTTGTCACCTGGTCATAGAATTCTATTAAGTCTGTCAGGCAAGATTTACCCTCCCTGAACCCATGTTGGCGATTTGTCACGAAGTCCCTTCTCTCCTTATGTGCTACCAGGTTTTTTCTCACGATCTTCTCCATCACCTTGCATGGTACACAAGTCAAGGACATTGGACTGTAGTTCAGTTCCTCTTGCCTGTTGCCCTTTTTGTATATTGGGACCACATTCGCCGTCTTCCATATTTTTGGTAGGTCTCCCGTCTCCAGTGACCTACTATACACTATGGAGAGTGGCAAGCAAAGTGCCTCTGCACACTCTTTCAGGACCCATGGCGAGATCCCGTCTGGACAAACGGCCTTTCTGACATCCAGATCCAGCAGGTGTCTCTTGACCTCCTCTCTCGTAATTTCGAACTCTTCCAAGGTCGCCTGGTTTACTTCCCTCTCTCCTAGCACAGTGACCTCACCTTGTTCTGTTGTGAAGACCTCTTGGAACCTCTTGTTGAGTTCATCACACACCTCTTTGTCATTCTCTGTATACCTGTCCTCGCCTGTTC